ATGTGGTACATGAAGTATGGACAGGCAGGGAGAAGGGCAGGATTCCTGGGAATGCCATCCTGGCACACTGCATCCTGAAAATGTACCCACAGTTTACTCCCCAGAGGGCAAGTGCAAGGAGCAGATACTCTCATGAGTACCTCATGGTCCCCATTGGGTTCTATCTGATGAGCTGACATGGACCCTGCCGGCCATGTTATATAGATGATCTGATTTAATTCTCACAACAACTCTATGTGGTTTTACAAAGGCCAAGGCACTTGTTCCAGGCCAACAGTCAGGAAGTGGAAGATGCTAGTCAAGTCAAACATAGGCTAACACCTATGCACTCAATCTTTCACTGTAGAGCCTAAAAGTCACAGCAGAGAGCTGGGAGTCTATTCCAGAGAAAGTCCAAAGTTTATGTCCTACAGAGATAGTGCTAAATGTTTTGGTAACTACCAAATGGACATGATTTCATGAGAACCATCCAACGTGGACCACGCATAGTTCATGGTTGGAACATAAACAGTCACTGGTGTTCAATAAGTCAATAATCAAGGGAGGAGAGAATAAAATGTCACAGCAATAACAATAAAAAGATCAGCAATAACTCCCAGCCATGGTGTTCAACGGGCTGCCACAACCACCTCCGGGGAGCGATTCTGGACTCTGGCCAGGATGTTAATTAAGCCCTAACCACCAAGGCCCAGGGAACCCCCTATCAATTAGTGGTGAGCTGGGAGCCTGTGAGACCTGAGGCCTATAAAAGGCTATTCCCTTTAGCCAGGTGTACTCCCCAGAACACATCTGTGCAAAGGTCCTGGTGGGCAGTGGGGCAGAAGAATTGGAATATAAATATGAAACTTTTTAAGTGAAAATTGTTATATTTACTATGCTTCCTAGGTTATGTCTAAGACACAAGAGTTTCCATATTCGCTTAATTGTTCAAATGATCACGTTTAACTTTTCATTCTTTACGCATACCAAAGGTAGTGTAAAACCAATACATATATAGAAAAATGCCAAATTTTAAATAAATTGCATAATAAGAAATTGTTCTCCCATTTTATCGGCAATGATGAAAAAAAGTCGTCAGAAAATGACCAAACACAGTGACAAAGAGGCTCTGGTAAAAAGGCGTCTCATGCAGTAATAGTGGGGTTACACATTAGTAGAACTTTCTGGAAGGAAAAGCGATAATATCAACAAAGTGTAAAGTGTAAGGGTACTTTAACCCACTAATTTTTCTTCTAGGAATTTACTCCAAGGTTCACCAAAAAAAAAAAAGTTATTTACAGGATTATTCATAATACCAAATATCTGGAAACAACCTAATATCCACAAAAGGAGAGCATTTTAAAAAATCATGGTATAACTAGACAACAGAGTCTGGTTTGCCTACTTAAAAGGAGGGTGTGAATCTATTAGCCATAATATAAAACGTTCTCCATGCTGTTCAGTTTTTTTAAAGGCTTCCCGTGAGCCTGCATGGGTGTGCAATGTGCGTGTCTGGTGACCTGAATCACATGCATACAGAGTGGCTCTTTTATGGATGGTGGAGATTTCAGATGATTTTTT